CATACTCACCATTATTGGCAATCCACGGGTTATCAGGATTTATACAACATCCTATTTACTCCATTTTCCCAAAAATCACTGAATATTGCACTCTACAAAAAGTATACAATCAGAAAATTTTGCCACGATACGACGATATTAACATCACTGACCATCCTTCATTACACATAATGTGGGTGAATGTAGGAATTAAAACAAAGACAGACTTTGACAAATGGTGCAAACAAAGCTTCCATATACAAACCATTTTGTGCCTGTTTTTGATCAGCCTTCAATCACAGAGTCAACTATATCACCAACCAGACCATCAATAGAACAAGCTCAATCATCACCTAAATCACCTAGTAGGGAACAAAACAATTATATTGGTGCATTAATGGCAGGAATAAATCCAACATTAAAGTTGAATGCTGAAACTGATGATGAACACATAACTTATGGTCCTGCCAAAGATATAGTATGTCTGTTAACACAAAAAGAGATGCTTGAGAAATTAGTATATTATGATGCCATTAGAGAAACGTACTTTTGGCGAGACTGGTCCATCCCACACACCTGGTTGATAAATATTTTACAGAAAGAACCGGATTTTCTGACACAAGTGGCTCCAGCTATCACTGCCACAAGAGACAATAATACAACCCTTACAAAGTATTTCTCCTGCACTGGGTGTGTGGGCTCTGTAAAAGCAGGTGGAACATTTAGTATTTCAACAAAAGAATTACTTCTCAGAAGCTTTTATGTGCAGTTAAAAATTACTTTTGCAAAGAATCGGCGCATTTGCACACATCTCAAAGGTATAACCTATGGTCAAACGCGCGGACTTTCTAAACAATTTCTCAAGCCAGAAACAACCCTCCCATGACAAATGCAAGCAACAGCCTTGGCTGAGTTGACACCTGAAAGAATACTCACAGGAAATCGGCAACACATACCAACTGCAAAGGCTGCTAAACAGTTGTGTTATTCCATAAATCCGAGTAAAGATTATAGTATTGCAGATCGTTTCATAGATGCAATACAGAAAATCAATGAAAAAGAAAAAGCGGATTTTATTAAAAAGAATGGAAATGATGCAGCACAAAATAGACAATTCACTGGACATATACAAGTACCCTTACAGCTTGATCCGCTTGCAGTTAATATATACAATGAAGCGTCTCTCAGATATTACCACCATTTTGCACACAAAAATCCTGGTATATTCATAGATTATACAGGATTAATGATCCGGTTAGTAAATTTGTTGCATACACACATATACATATACATGTTAAATGATGCTTACGTGTTTGTTGCATTAATAGTGATGTGTTCAAACTCTTACGAGAGAAGCCCACGGAACCTAAAGAAAAAACTAAGAAAGTTTTGAATGCAATGATAACCTTACCTTCTGGTGATTCCAGGGTCGATGGGGTGGCTCCTCCAGTATTGGCGGCTGAGTTTGTCATGACAGATCTATCAGCTGAATTTTTGGTAACGGCATTACATTATTTCTGCCGAAAAGAGTATGATGTATTCCGATCAAATGTTGTACCATACCTTATACAATCTGACTGTGCACGAGGAATACTTCGCGCTGTGCTTACGGAGTATAATGACGAGTCTTTGGAAGAATATCTCCAAAGACTAATGATGGATGCCATGTTGAACAAGGACTCAGACCCTACAAAAGTGATAATTGCATGGTGTTATGGTCACTGCACAAGGTTGGTATAATACAATTAATTGTTTTTATGTGATTAATAATAAAAACATTGATCCTCACCATCTCACACAATAATAACTCTGTTTGATAGAGCGATCCGGTCACATGTGCGTAGTGGCAACTTTCACTGTAGAGAGAATGTCAGTAAGAAGAATCTCCAAGTTGCTGCACGACGGATTTTTGAACGTGTAAGGGTACAAATAACATTACCTGAAGCTGAGCGAGAGGCAAAATTATGGGACTGGCTGTTGGGAACCAAAGAACTTGACCTTACCATAAATAACATTGATCTGAATATGGGAAATCCCCTATTAACCCGAACCAAATACTCATCGGAGGATGTGCTTCCTGTCCATGATCTAACTGAAAATGAAGATGAAGAGGAGATAGAAATTGACACTTTAATAGTAGATGGTGAAACAGTGAGCCAGGGTGTCTCTTCAAATGATAACAGTTGGATATTGTATATAAACACTACACCATTTCTTAAAGTTCGAAGGGAACGACATGACAACCGAATGCAGTATCTATTATCTGTGCCAGACCTGCACATGTGGTTTATAGTAATGCCTAATGCAGAACAATGTTTTGATAATCCATTATACAGTCCAGAGTTGAGGCAGTATTTTGCACGACAATGGTGGGGATATATATTTTTGTGGGGAAATGTTAATCAAAGAGTTGCTGAGCATACTCGAAGAACAACAGCAACAATTGAAGTACAGCACAAAATACTAAAGACATTTGACATTACCAAAAGAAATCTGGCCATTGATGAGTATCTCCTCCAGCACTCATCGATAATCAGTGCAAATCAATTAGCTCTGGCCGAAAAGTTGCTGTTCAAAAGCTCTATGATGGAGCTGAAACGAAGAAAGTTAGAAAAACCTGACGATGACGAAAAATGGTCAAAAAATCTGGTAAAACTGGACGAGTCCAAATTACGGTTCCTTGAAGCCTTCAGGAATGTTTATAATGACTGCAAAACAACGCAGACAAGATGTGCAAGGGAGATAAGAGACATTTCGGATGGTAAGAGCAGGATACAACAATCTGTAGTGTCTAGAATGTTGTGTAAAACTTACTTACCCAAAGAGCCAGTGACATTGCAGGCTATCAAAAGTTGGATGACAATGAAAGGGCAAGGGAAAATATTTTTAGACGAGTAAATTTAGTTGATCAGTTATCATTATGGAAATACGGCAATTGTTATTATTCATTATTCGCTATCAATTGATCTGATCAGTTATACATGAAATAGTAAAGTTTGCACAAATAAAATATTTACATTAGAACTATATGTCTATTGCCATTCCATTATTGTTATACGATTACAAATGTGTTTTGGTATGTCTATTACGCAATTTACAATTTTATGCGACGTTAACATTATGAAATAATACTCTTCATAATGAGAATGACTACTGTACCATTCATATTTTCTCGTGCTTATAATATATTTCACGCTAACTTATTGTTAGTATTAGACCAAAAGCTAATGGTTGAAGTTTGACTAAACGATTTAAATATGACTGCCAAGTTATACATGAAATATGTCCGAGAATAAAGCACTCTTTATAGGAAGCAAATTTACGTCATGGCTGGTACCATTGTTAAATTGAAACTTCTCAATTAACAGTTGTGCGTAATTACTCTAACTGATAATCTAACAAATGGTACAACATTTGGCGTTCGCAAAACGAAACCGTGTTAATATGGGTAGCATGTTTATTTTAATGAATGAATAAAAATACAATGCTGATATTTAGTGAACTTGTTTATGAAGGAATCCTTGGTTGACACATATACGTGTATATCTAATTGTTCAAGTTAAAAAAGTTTGCTTCTCTCCCGCTTACCAAGCGATATTCAAACGTCGGAATTTTCGCTGGTCATAATTGTGATGATCACACTATATATGGGAATATACTGTGCGACGTTAAAAGTGTAGGATAACTGTGTATGATTTCTTGACTATAATCATTTTATTTCACTATTATCACATAAACAATGTTAATTAGATGTCGCTTATTGGTTGTGATATTAGACAATGTCCTATTGCGAATCAGGCTGGATTTTGCAACGGGCCAGAACATAAAAAAGGATCATAGGACAAGTTGAGCGATTTTTCAAAAAGAAATAGAATGAAGAATGCCATATCAAACAATGACATAGATTTATAAATTGAGGAATATCAACATTGCAATTTGGTGTCTTTCACTTAGCATTGTCAGGAAACAAACATGTCTAATAAACATTTTAACTTCATCTCTTGCACCAAATTTGATGAATTGGTGGATAATTACATGTTCACTTAATTGTCGCACAAAAGCCATTCTGACTCAACAAATCATAAACCAGGCAATTGAAATCCTTAGCGGTTCTGACAAAAGTGTGAATCAATGATATAAACACTGGTACTGCAAATGTTCAGTGAGCGTGATGCATATTGGCAGAATGAAAATTCTACTACTCAAAAGAAGTAAAAAAAAACCCGTGTGTGTTAGAGAGAATATGTATGATGTAATCTGTTCTACACATCGAGATTTACAACATGCTGGCTACAGAAAGACATTCAGAGAACTCCAACACCATTTGTTAATGCATGTAGCATTTGCATGCGTTAACACAATATCATAATTATCATATTTCAGGAATATTAGACATTTATTAGTGCATTATACGAATATGAGTATGTAAAATGGTAGGGAGTAGAGTGTGAGAATGTGCAACTAAAGAGGGATAAACATTTCCTTAGTTTTGATCCTTATTCTGATGAAATGAATAATACTGTAGTAGTGAGAGAAGGGTGCAGAGTGAGCAAGACGCAATATATTTTTTTGTCATAGATTGAATAAACAATGTGCATTCAGCATATGCTGACTGCATTAAACATTAAAATTTTTTTATTATTACTATTATGTTTTCATATTTGCTATTCATAAATAAATTTGCTTGTTCGAGTGTTCACTATTACATTGATATTATTATTGCACATGAAGTGATGTAATTGAGTAGACAGGCAAACTCCATAAGTCAGTCATGCATGATGGACTGACTTATCGAGAGAACTGACTTATCAAGAGATTTTAAATATTAAAACTGAGAAAAGGGCTTGGGAAGTTTTGGCCTTCTTAGGCCAAATTGAATCATTGAGAGACTGACTTATCAAGTTTGCCTGTGTATGTTGAAGTGGGTTGACCCGATTCAAAAGTGGGTCAAATGTCAGAACAGGTACAGATGAAGCACATGCTATATCATGAAAGGCCCAATCTGTCAACCGGAGTGTCAAACGAAATAATCGAAACAATTGTCATCTAGATCCGTTGCAGCTACATACCCATTTAGCATCATGAAGATCTGATTCAGTCCACAATTCTTCTGGAATTTAAAATTCGATCAACTGCATTTTTAGCATGTCATGTGATTTTAATGCATAAATCTGCGCATCTATGGACGGGAATATCAACTTCGGGAATGTCGTCTTCTAATGTCAACCAAAACAGACATCTCTACTGCCATTGCCTTTTTGACACCAATGTTAACTGAAATAAATAATGTCAGAGAAATTCATGTTATAAAACTACAAAGGGTCACTTTGAACTCTATGCAATTGTCAGTCAATTTCAAGGTTCTGGTTTTGCTCTCAGTTATCTAATATTAGATATACACCAAGACAGTGAATTAACAAAAACGACAGTATTAACGGAATTTTTCACACATTTTCAAAATCTTGGGTTGAATCCTGACTTCATTTTTACCGATAAGAATTTTGCTGAAATTAATGCTAAATCAGTATGGAATGAGAGTCATGTTCAGCTTTGCCTATGGCACATAAAGAAGGCTATACTCACCAAAATTA